AGGGGCCTCTGTTTTTCCTAGGTTGCTGGGGTTGTATGGCTATGGCATATAGAGTAGGGACAGGGTGCCTACAGTCAGAGGGGCGTTTTTGGAGGGTGGGCCAAGGCAGGGGGCCTCACTCAGAGAGTTTTCTACGGACTAAATGTAGGTTGGGGGGACCTATAGGGGACTATATAGAGGGTATAGGGGGACCTATTTAAGGGATATACTGCAAGTTTAGTCCTCTTCTTGCGTGACAAGGTCCATGGGGTGGTCACTCTGAATATGATGGTAGCTTCCCTAAATAGCTCCAAACAGGTACTGCTAGTCTGGGGTGATTGTTGGGCAGGATTTTGAGCAGTCACCAAGCTGAAGCCCAGTGAGCGTTAAGGGACGTAAGCATTAAGTTACCTATGGGCATATAACAAATACTAGGGTTTCCTTATTGATAACTTGAGTTCCTTGACAGTATCCCAACGAGGAGCCAGCCTATGCTACCATCATAAGCTTCAAGCACGAGGAGCTATAGTTGAATAGGAGCGTTCATTCCTCCGCGCCTCAGAGAACGCAGAGCACGCGGAGCATGAAAAAAGACTGGGTGTAAAGGGGCCCGCTGAGGACCCTGCCTTTCTTGTGGGTTTAGTGTTTAGGGGTTTCTCAAAAAATCCATGCATAATGCCTGATCGGGACTCCCACATTCCCGTTTCATTCCCCTTTTTTCTCTCAAAGGTCCCCAGGAGTAGCCCCCAACTAGTTTAAGAAACTCCCCAGTGAGCATTCCTGATGTAGGTGTTAGGGTTTTCATCCCAAGGAGAATTCCACTTCCTGACCCGAACACATTGAACTAAACAGATGACTTCGCCCTGTAGCTCTACACTCCAAACCCTAAACCTGAATCCTTGAGCCGTGAACAAGAAGGGGATACTATAGGTCCTACTTTTGGGGGTTGAGGTTACCGACATCCCCGTAGTCCAAAAGGCATACCATTCGGTGGAATTTTGACCTTGGTAAAAGGCTGGGCACATGAAAGGACTGGCCCACAGAATTGTCCTGTAACTCAGGCTTGGATTCGACCCTAATCTTACCCTCTGAACACTTGACCTCAAAACTCCAAGCCCCTAAACCCCTAGTCATCAAGGAGCAGGCGCGTCCATTGGCACCTCCATTCGTAACCCCAAAGCCCGCAACCTTACAATCTTACTGGGGGTTAGTAGGGTTTAGGGTTTAGGCCTTGAATGTACCTGCCACAATGGAGAATCATATCGAAAACAAAAATGGGAAATGAAATGGACGCAGGGTTTCTAGGGATCCAATATACCCCATATAATCCCTATAGAACCCCTATAACCCGTATAGCTTCCATTGTATTTTCCATTATCCCAATATAACCCCAATATACTATTCTGCAATATGCCCTGAACCCCACGCCCCGCGCCCACGAGCCATGGTAGGCGGTAGTTGCTCGATGCCGGGAGCTGGAGATGGAGGCTGGCACTTTCCCACATGAGCTAGTCTAAACTCTTGAAAGGGGTTAATATAGGGGAGTATATAGGGTACTATTATAGGGGGTCATTAAGGGGGATACTAGGAGTTGAGACTATAGCTCACATGTTCCAGAGTTTAGGTTGTTCTGGGTTAATGTGGAAAACCCATTATTTTCTGTATGAGTAGTTCCCCAACTTAGGGTCCCATTTTGGTACCCCTAAATGTTAGGTTGAGTAATATCACTTATACCTAGAAGGGGCCCATGATTTTTGAGAATAACCCATACACACATAGTATGGCGACTTAATTTGAGCTCCTTAACAGCAAGCCAGTGTTTCAGGTGTTCATTCTGCTGCGGCAACTTGTATCCTGCAACAGTGGGTATTTCATTAATTCAGGCGTTTATTTCATACTCCACAAGTCTCAATCCTCAGCGAGTGGAATGGAAAGTAAAGGTTTTGGACACCCGGAAATGGCTCTGCTTTTCTTGTTGTTGTAAATGCTACCTGGGGACAAAGTCAGGCGAACTCCGCCCATCTTCAGTCCGCGGCAATTGCCACTGCCACCCAGGCGCATCACGCTAAAGGATGGAGGGCTAGGTACTTTTTACCCTGAAGCCCAAACTCTAAATCCTAGACCTTAGGGCAGGCAGAGCTGTCTTTGTTTTTGACTGGCGTAGTGTAATCACTGTGGGAGAGGAAGCACCGGGTCTGGGCGGAGGCCTGGTGTGCTATATGAGCTATAGTCGAAAGTCCTTAAAGGGGGTCATACAGTGCGAGAGCTGGGTAAGAGGACAACTCAGTGAGCGCAGAGGTCACTCATTTTCTTGAATTGCTCTACCGTGATAATGTGGCTCTCAGAATCCAGTGCCCACTCATTTTCTCAGCATTTTCTCAGTACGCAGAAGCATTCGCAGGTAGCAGGTAATGGGGCTGCATTGGAGGACGGGAGGGATGTGGAGATAGTGTGAAGAAAATCAGTATACTAGAAGTTTCCATTTTCTTTTCCATTATCCCTCTATAACCCCCATATAACCCCAATATATACCCTACTGTATTGTAGTAGCTTCCATTTTCTTTTCCATTATCCCAATGATTCATTTTCTTAAACCGTATTTACAGATGGATTTGGACCCCGTGGGGATGGGGTCCAATCCAGACATGTGGGGTTCAATTCCCAGATGCACGTGTAGATACTTTGCATCTCCCACTCCCCTTTCTCAATTACTCGGGCTTCAGGCAACCACGAATCCTGAGAGGACATGCCATTACTTAAGAAAGTCAGTGCTCATTTTCCATCCAAAAAGCTAGAAATAGTATTGATCCCCAGACCCCCAAGGGTAGCCCAGAAGTAAAGAAAACAGGGTCCGAACGTGGGATCATTTTCTTAGCTAGAAGGGGTAGTGAAAATGTATATGGGTATCGGTCTAAATTCCCTATAATACGGGGTCCTCTTTTTGGGTTCCCATTATAATACGGGTCCCTATATACATTTCCCCCATTTTGGGAACAGTAATTTAGGGAAACTACCATATGTCCTCCTGAAACTGAGTTATATAAGGCAATAAGCGGGATACTAGGAGTTTAGACTATAGCTCATATAGGGATGATATAGGGGATTGAAAAGCATGTGTCCAAACAGGACTGCTCAGAACAAAACGCATCACATCGTTTCTGTTGGTTTCTGCGAGTTTCCTTCGTGTAGTCATTGCTCTTATCATGGTTTGCGCCTGGCATCGCCGCGAACCCGACCGAAGGAATGATCCCATTGTCTACGCCAGGATTAGCCTAAGGAAGATGGGGCCAGGTCATTTGTTTTCAATTCGATGACCCGGAACTCCTTTTTTCATCCCAGCTTCCGTTGAATTCCCATTTTCTTTTCCATTTCATTCTCCGCTATTAGGGGGTAATGTCCATGTGTAACCCCTATTCAACTTAACCCTACACCCTTAAACCTTAAACGAACCCTAAACCCTGATTTCTATGCGTTTGCCTTGGAAGGTTGAGGGAGCTAGGGAACCAATTTTGGGTCCCTTCAGGTCACTTAGGGCTTTCTTGGCGAACGCAAAAGAAAATGGAAGTCTCAGGGTTTAGAGTTTAGTGCTCGAATGCGTGTTCGGGCCATGTAGCAAGGACTTGTGCATTTTCCTGCAATGCCTGTAGTATGTCCTTGTACTTATTGTGGACCATTCTAAGCGGGCCCTGACAACGTATATACTAACCGCACGTAACTAAACTAAACCCTAATCCCTAAACCCTAATCTCTAATCCCTGAACCCTAAACCCTAATCCCCAAACCCTAATCCCTAAATCCTGTACAACCCAAAGAAACACCCAACGAAAAGAGCCCTCGGAGTGGCAGGTTGGCACGCTCTCGACAGGCCCAGAGCAGAGACACGAGGAAGGCGCTAGGGGTGTATAGTCCCCCTTAAGTAGATAGAATATGGCTTTGGGTATATTATAGTAAGATCCCCATATATCCCATATTCTATCTACTTAAGGGGGACTATAGGGTTTGGTTCCTGGTGCCTTCATGTTATGTGCTGTACCAACCTTATGATCTTAATTTTGGGGTTTCCAGGATGATGCTTCTGGATAGCAAAAGCTACGACAAGACAGACACTTTGATTTGGACGTTGGGGTAGAGGTTTAGGGTTATATAGGGGATTGTATAGGGGAGTACTATAGGGGTCTATTAAAGGGTGATACTAGGAGTTTAGACAATGGCTCGGGTTTTGGGTTCAGAGATGTCTTTGCGGACTCTCGCGGGTACCACGGATCATTCGCAAACGTCGTCAGAGAAGTTGTCTGCTAGCAACGCTTGTAGCAAACGTGATGTTCTGGTTTTGCTTACTGTAGAAATCTGACCAGGTAGTAATAAGAGAAAATCAAATGGCAAAATGTAAAATGAGATGGAAATTTGGGATTAATCACATAAAGCCTGAGCAAATATTGATGGCTAGCGAGTTGTAATGAATAATTGAAGGAAAAGAACATCGAACATGGAAACTGCCATTGACACCGGGATTCTAGTGGTGTGGGGTACTTATTTACTATACAAGCCTGAGCAATTATCAATGTTATCCCGTCATAATCCGTATTAATATGCAGGATATTCCCTCAAAACACAATTCTAATTAAACCGGCTTTGAATGAGGTGCCTTCTGCTGTTAGAGCTGCATCGGATATGATATGGTGGCAGGTGTAGGTGTTATGTAGGTGCTTAAATAAAAACCAATATCATGGTCCCAGGTTTCGTGTAGTGTGCAATTATGGTATGGGGTTCTCTCTGTGCAGCCGCCATGTCTTACTGCAGCCACCAGCATCCCAAAGTGCTTGCATTGGGTCTTTCCCCCTTACGGTACCTGTCCGTAAAAAGGGTCTTATTCAGGGGCCAGTATACTCCTATTACTTATGGTGGTAACAGGTACTGTAAGGGGGAATGACCTAATGCTTGCAGTATTTTGAGATCCCGCGAACTTTCTAGTCCGTCCAAGTTCCTGAAGAACGTTTCTCTTCAGAGCGAAGGGGGCCACCATGTCCAATATGCGGGGTGTTGACAGGGACCCTGAAATACCCGTTTGTGGGCACCCCTCCGGAAGGTACCCAGAGACCCTCATGGGCTAGGTATTTCTTAGAAATATGGTCCCTTTGTCAGGTAATTTTGACACCCTAAACCCTATACCCTAAATAGTAGTTCCCATTTTCTTCTGTATTATTCCAATATTACCCCTGAGTTTGACCCTAAACCCTAAGATTTCTCTGTTTTTTGGTCCTTGCAGGTCAGCAGCCTGTTCTCAGCACAGAGAACTCCGGCCAACTGACGCCCGGGCCCTGAGGTGACCCTTAACCCTAAACCCCGTAGGGTTTAGGGTTTAGGGTCCCTAAGAGCGCTGTGAGGATGAGTCCTTGAGAGTGCTCTGAGGATGTATAGGGACGGAATAGGGTATAGGATTTTAGAGCAACCTTTCGGGTACTCTCCCTGAGAATGGTGATGAAGTTTTAGGGATGTATGAGGGTGGCTTAGGGCTAAGGGCATTGGGTCTAGCAGAGCTCTTAAGATTTTAGAGCAGTCTTTGGGGATTTACAGTGCTAAATTTTTAGGGATGTACTACTTAGGGCGTAGGGTTAAGGGCATTGGGTTTAGCGGAGCTTAGGGTTTAGGGCATCGAGTTTAGGGGAGCTGTTGGGGATTGGCCCTAATCCCTAAACCCTAGCCTTGGTGGCCCATAGTACCCCTTAAGTAGATAGAATATGCCTTTGGGTATATTATAATAAGATCCCCATATACACCATATTCTATCTAGTTAAGGGAGACTGTACATCCCTAAGGCTTTGCCAGGGCTGCTTGATATGTGGACTTCTACTGCAGGAGGAGGTTTGAAGCCCGAAGCCCTACCTGCAACCCCAATCACCTACAGTTTTATGGGTTATATATTGTGGAAGATCAAAATGAAAAGACCATGGAACATGAAATGGAAACTGGGGTTATGTAGGGGTTTATAAGGATTGTGTAACCCCAAATACCTACAGTTGTATGGGTTACACCTCTCCCTAATGGATAGTTACCACAAAGCTGTAGGTGGAGTTGCAGGTAAGCCCTAAACCCTCAACCCCGAAACCCCAAACCTGCAACCCAAACCCTAAACCCTAGGATTGAAGGTATGAAGTGTTAAACTTGCTGCAGTCTCAGAGTGATAGTTAGCCTTTGACCCCGGACGTTTTACTTTCTCACCCTGAGGCTCAGGACCTCAAAACCAAAGGGACCTCCCATCCTTGGAGAACATCTTACATCGGTTGGCCCTAAACCCTAAACCCTAAACCACAAATCCTAAACCCTGAACCCTAAACCCTAAACCCTTTAGAGGCTGAACTTTGAATGCTTCGCCTTCCCAAGGCAAGGAGCCGTGCTTGGGAATCAGCTGCTCGACCAGATCCTGGAGGGTGAGATGTGAGGTTATGATAAGAGGAATGATAATAGTAATATTATAGCAACAAAAACAGTAGTAATGAAGTACTAATAAATGATAGAAATAATCATGATAATGATCATAATATTAATAGGAGTAATAGCGCACTAATAATTTTAGGGATCGAGCCTGGAAGTGTTGGTACTTTTCGCTGCTTCTAGCGCTAGGGCACCAAGCAGGCTTGCTTTCTTTGCAAATGGGATGCTATGCAATGCCTCGGATGAGGTAAGCTACGGTGGTCTCTGGTAAGGCGGCAGGCAAAAGTTTGTGGCAATGTGCAGGTGCAAATGGGACACGGAGTCTAATTGATCAACGGCGGCTAGTACGTGTGGTGTGGTGGAGCTGTAGACAGTTAAGCAGAATCTTTTATTTCAGTCGACTAGATATCAAACCCTCAGCCCTTAGGCCCAAACCCTGGACCCTTAGCCCAAATCCTAAATCCTACACCCGAAGCACTTCTCCTTATCCCCAAGCACGTCATGTGCGAAGCTCTTCCCGATAAAGCCCCTACAGGAGCTCAGGTTCCACTTCATCTTCAGTTTTTTTATCATAATCCCTAGACCCTACATGGTAGTTTCCCAAAATGAGGGGACCCCAGCATAGACCCCAATACACTATAATCCTTATTATGGGGACCCCCAAAATGGTACCCCTGATTTCGGGAAACCCCCGCATGCTAAACTTGCAAAACAACAAAAACAAACTGTTTGGCCCAGGCAGGCCAAGGGTGGAGACAAAGAGGGAACCGACCAGGAAGACTCGTGGTCTCCTGAGACCTCCGGGTGCTTTGCACTGAGTAGGGGTTACACTGGGTCATATATGTATATAGGTTATGTCATTATGTAAGGGTTACATGAGTCATGGTCTAAACTCCGTAAAGGGGGTTATAAAGGGGATCATATAGGAGAGTAATATAGGTGTGATGAAGGGGGTACTAGGAGTTCAGACTATGGTTCATATACGTATATAGGGTATGTAGAGGTTAGATGAATATTTGGGGGCCATACAGAGGGTCTATATGCGTGTAGGGTGTATGGAATGGCGAAAGTTAGGGTTCGCTGTCAATGACAGGATTTTTTGATTTGACAGTCTTGAGTCTTGTAGCCCAAGTAAGCTTGACTTTATCATGAATTCTGCGTTGGCCATAGTTAGTAAAGAGGATGTTGTCGAACACCCCAAGCCTCAAAACTCAGACCTTACAAATTTACCACATGACTAGCAGGGTCTTTAATTGTCGGGGTTGGAGTTCTCATTAAGATGGCACTCAAAGCTCATGCTTTTTCATGAACTCTGTATGTTCCTTGTATCGCCGCAAGTTGAATTCCTGCCGCACCGGCAACTCTGGGTGCGATAGTTCAGTGGTGGTACTGTTGATTTAAAACCTGCGTGACCTTACTATACCACCGTACTACAATTCCCAAGGTATAAGGTATTTAGGGTCATGCACGATGTTTAGTATCCAATGTAGGGTGCGAAGGAAGACAGGAAGGCAGCGAAGAAAGAAGGGTTCTACAGGATGAGTTTCCTTGCTTCCCTGAAAAGTGGCAGTTCTGAGTGCCAGTGTTGCAACCCGCACCTTCCAGACATTGAGCATTTTTCGTGAGCTTACTGCTTGAAGGGCCAGGGTGACTTAGTAAGTAGGCTAGTCACATGGATATCTAGAGCTGTGACATGGCTTAAAAGGATTGATACTCGGAAAGTCTACGCGACCCTCCAAGAAGGGGTCGCTGAGGCCAGGAGCGGGGATGTCCGTTAAGCAAATTGGGTCATATCATCAGTAACATGCGGCACGTGCCGACGAAATCTCGAACCCATGACGTACCAATAACTATGCCACACACGCCCTGAGTGCCAGAGCAGAAGACTGTTCAACAGTAGTTGCAGACGTTGGAATAGTGGATCGCATAGGCACGCGTGTGCGGTCAATTGACCTTTAAACGGAAGCCGCTGGAGCTACATGTCAGAGTAGGGTTGAGGCAGCAGCCAGCAGGTCAGGAGGACACAACCCGCGTAAACCAGCAGTATTTCTAAAGTGATCAAAGGACTTTCTCAGTAAGAGTATGTACACAACTGCTGCTGGAGACATTAGTTATGGCAGTGATGATGATGACGATTCCATCATTCAAATGTTGCAGGGGTAAATTGTCGCTCAGGAAGGTGAACTGGTCCACGCTGGGATGGTCCTTGGCGAAGAAGCAACCGTTGTCCGCAGAAATCTGCAGGAGCAACGCGGAGAAAGGCCTGTGACCGGGTGATCACAAATTTGCGGTGGCGGCATGGAGGGAATTTCAAACTATGGGTCGTGCTACACGAAGATCTAACAAGGACCATGTTCGACAGCCCCTGCGTAGATGTAGTGCTATCTGACCAAGATATTAGCGCTACCCAGCTCAGGAATTAGCTACCGGGTTTGGTTGCACCTGTTGTTTCTGAGGTTTCGAGGTTTGAGGTCAAGACTTATGGTGCATGGCAACTACGAATGCTTTGGGAATCTTGGGAGCACGCAAACAATAGGAGCTGAGCGTGTTCACCCTGCCTATGTCTGTCATCCCTCGTTCCTGATCCCCCCGTCCTGAAGCTAACCCGGCTCAACTCCTGAGTAACAAGTAATGAGCAACATTTCCCCGACAATCTTTTTATGATTATACAAGAAATGCCCAAACCCTATTCTAGTTAAATTGGCCCCGACATACAATCCTCATATAAACCCCTATGATGCCAGCCTCTTTTTCATTTTCAATTTGCTTTTCCATTTGATTCCATGATGGTGGCAACTACATGGACCCATACACCAACTTAGCAGGGTTAGTAGGGAAGAAGGGAATACGTGTAAATATATATATATATGTATATATATATATAGATATATTATACATATATGTATATATATATATAGAGCGGGTTAAAAACATGCGTCTATATATATATATATAGAGTAGATGTACACATATTTATATATAGATACTCTATATATGGGGTGTAGGGGTTAGGGTTAGTAGGGAATAAGGGTTAATTACTATATAGGGGTTATATAGGGATTATATTCCCCGCTCCCTGCTGAGCACCAGTAAGGTAAAGTGCCTCCGTGAGCCAGGAATCGATGATGCCGGCCTGAAGGAACAGCGTGACGGAGTCATGCTGCTGCAGAGGCGGGTGTTTAGGATTTGGGGTTTAGGTTTAGGGTTTGGGGTTGCATCCAGCAGTGTTTGGTGAGTTTGGTGCCACCGTTTTATGAAACCCAAAACGGGAGTATCCCCGAATCACCCCCTCTAGAATCCTCGGGGGAGACCCTCAAATCCCTCTAAGATGACAACATTATCCTAGGGTCCCAAGACGTCAAGGGGACCGTTTCTATGAGAACTGCATAAACAGACTGGCCTCGTGGCCACTCCAGGAGCTTTTGCCAAGACCTTCCCAGGGGGTCTCCCCAAATGGAACCCCAATTTCTGATGATTCTTGAAAATTATACGAAATTCTTATCAGATCAGAATCCAATAAGGAAAACACACCTGCAATTTCCTGCAGCGTCCCAATGTGGCGCCCCCGTACATGGAGTGTTGTGCTCATTGCGAGGAGCCTGGCATACCTCATCCCCAAAGTGACGGAGGCAGCGGATCTTTTGTCCTCGGGGCCTTTTCCTGGGCGAGGCATTTGGGACACTATGACCTCTCAATGGAGAACCAGGTTCTATCCCCCCATAGTATTTTGAGGAAGGCTATCCGGATAACGAGTCGGAAATCTGAAGCCGGGGACCCAAGCAGTTGGTGTCCACCAGGGCAAATAAAGGCAGAATCTATATTATAGTAGTTTCCATGTTTCCATTATCCCCAATATAACCCCCATATGTCCCCATTATAGTAGTTTCCATTTTCTTTTCCATTATCCCCAATATCGCCCAGGCCTGCATCTGAAGCCTTGTCATATGACCTGCAGTGGACTTCGAGCACTTGGCTGTGCCGCCTGAGAAGGGGGATCAAGGCGACGTAGCTGTAGAGAGGAGTGCAACGTTTCTAGCCGTCCAGCAGGAGCCAGATCTGAACCTGAAATGCCATGATTTTCAGGGAGATGTGTCATGCGGAACCCGGAAACATTTTGCTTCCTATACCTCCGACCGAATCGAAAGTGTCAGATACTTCTGGACTGATCATTTCGGCATCTGAGGCATCGCTGGCAAGGTTGGAACGTGCATCGCAAATCTGGACATGAAAGCAGCCGTTCACGTATTATATATAGCCCCAATATATCCCCTATATAATCCCAATAGTTTCCATTTTCTTTTCCATTAGCCCTATATAACCCGTATAGAACCCCAATATACTATAGTAGTATGAGCAGCATGTTCGAGAGCTGCATGGCGGGCCATGCCCCAAAGATGTGGTTACCACTGTCACGACTGCGATGAAAATGCACTCCTCTTAAGGATGTGGGTTGGGTGAGAAGCCGTGCAAGTGTCCACGCGACAAGCCGCGCTGCAGCCATCACGACACGACCGAGTGTGAAAAAAACGCTTGCGAAGCCTTCGTTTCTGCGAAGAAGGGGAGCAGCGATCGTGGCTCGCGCAGAAGTCCCACAAAGCCTATCACGGCTAGCTGGGTTGCTGTTAAGGAACTTAAATTAAGTTACTATATTGGGGAAACCCTGTTATTTACTATATATACCCATTATGGTAACTTAATTTAAGTTCCTTAACAGCAACCCAGCTAGAGTGACTTCAGTTCAGTGCCAGACTTTTGGACAGCAACCTGTGGGCTCATGTGGGCCACATGAGCCCGCATAGAGCTTGGGTCCTCGCCGGCTTTGGAGCCACGTTACATGGCGACAGCTCATGTGCAGCTGACCTGACCCGGGTCAACCACCAAAATAAACACTGCCCTGGTGACTTTGAAAGCTTTATTTATGGGAAGAGTAGGGCAATTTTGCATGGAGGTTCTTCCAGGCATGTTGGGCTGAGGTTTTATGGGGACCTGTAGAGTAGAGTTTGTGCCCAGATCGCTTCTATCCTTCAAGTTCAAACGGGTCAAGGGGACGGAGTGTGCACATTTGCCGACACCACATTGTCCATTATACAAACTCATCATCCTTATTATGCTCAGTACTACCTACAGTAGCTTCCTATGTCCTCGCACGCCTCCCAGCAAAGACGTGCTTCTTTGAACTCATATCTCTACTCTACTAGTTGCTTGCACTGGCAAAGTCTCTCACCACAGTCCCCTGCAAAGATATTTCAGGCGCCAGAAGGTTTTTGCTGATCTTCTGGTACCCCATGGCCCTAAACCCTACACCCTACCCAACGTCACACACACACACACACACCCGCGCACACACACACATGCGTTTCGAGACCAGCCGCATGCAGGAGTTCTATGTCTGCCTCGGGGAGTGGTCCCCGCCTCAGGCATAGACAAGGGGAGTTTACTCAAAATTCAGGGTTCAGGGTCTAGTGTTCCCGAAGAATCTAAGTGCTAAGATGGCGGCCTTGATCGAGAAAGTCGCAACGTTCCTTGGGTTCCATCCGCTTCCGTCTGTCCTTACCTGAAAGCCGTAACCACCCTGCACCTTAAGAAGCCTAGGAAGTGAACCTTGATCCTGAACACCTCAACCCCAAATCCCCCCAAACCCTACACCCTCAAATCCTAAACCCTTAGACCCTCCCTTGACCCTAAACCCTTAGACCCTAACCCCTTAAACTCATGGTAATCCCAGGTGCCAGAAGACCACGGAGGCCCTGAAGCTCTTCCAGGAGTATCACCACATCCAGAGCGAGAAAGGGGCGGTGAGCTGAGAGTGTGGGATTTAGGGCTTACAGATCGGATTTAGGGTTTAGGATTTTTGGGCGGTGAGCTTAGATATTTAGACTGGGCTGCTGTTCAGGAACTTAACTTAAGTTACCCTATTCTGGGTATGTTTTCTTATAGCATTTGAAAAGTTCCTCTGCCTGGGCTTAGGCTTTGGGAGGCCCCTGGAAGGTCCCTGGGAACCAAGACGATCGCTTTTTTGGGTGTTTGGGAAATTTTGAGCCTTTGAGGATTGGAAAAAACCAGCCAGCCCCCTTCAGTACTGGTTGCAAGGACAACTCCTTCCGGTACCGGGCCCATCGTGAATGCTACCGCAACCGTGGCTGTGCGGAGGCGGCAGGCAAAAACCAGCTTCATGCCTTGCCCAAGCCCTTTCTCCTCCCTAAACCCTATAATGCCGTATAGTTTCCATGATCTTTTCCGTTTGATTCTCCATTATTCGCCCTTAGTAAAGCCAGTATATAGGGACATATCCTTACATAGCTCCATAACCTTATGTACAGTATGTCCTATTCGGTTCTCCATTGTTGAGCCCTCTATCCCTGTATATTCTTGAGGAAATGCCCATATACGACCCTGTATAAACAAACATATAGTCCTGACCCCTTTATAGCGCCTATATAGCTCCCCTTAAGGAGTTTAGACTATATCCCTATATCGTCCTTAACCCTAAACCCTAAACCCTATATACAATCCTAAGCTACCTCGAGGTTGCTGACCAGCAGATTTGGGACAAGCTGTCCACAGAGGTTTCTGCAAAAGATGTGAAGGACCAATAGGGTTTAGGGTTTAGTGTTTTGGGTTTAGGGTTTGGGTTTAGGGTTTAGGGTTAGGGAGCAGTACTTTATTTTTTGGGATGCGATGGTACCCAATGTAGAGTAAGAATATATCCTCCTTTTGGGTATAGTATTTTATACGAGGAATAGAATCTTGCTGGGTTCAATTACTCAATTTGGGTGTGCCGTGGGTTGGGCTTAGGAGTCAGAGTTTGGGGTCTAAAGTGCGGAATTCAGGGTCTGGGCTTCAGGGCCTAGGGTTTAGGATTTAGGGTTTAGGAGGTCGCCTTGTACAGGTAAATCATTTTACCACAGTTGCACTACTGGGGGACTCCTGCAGGCTGGGAGCAGTCCAACCATATTTGTTCTGAGGTCAAGTGGAGGAGAATGCCGATGACACTGGTGGTCGTCATGCTGCTGCTGCTGATGATGATGATGATGATGATGATGGCAACGATGATGACCATGATGATGACGACGATCATGAAGAAATGTTGCTTTATGATCATGACGTGCTTGCTGGTCTAATGGCTGCTTCCATGTTAAATAGCTGACCATGGAGTGTATAGCGAACCTTAGACATTCCAGTTTGACACACTTAGCCTTTGGACGCCTTGTCAGCTATGAAATTGCAAGTGCTGTGCTAGATCTGCAGTTGAGGCAGAAGAGATTTGTCCTACTGGTGTTCAAGTTCAGTATGGCTCCATAGTCCCTACATTATATATTCCGATATTCCCTATTTGTAATGGTGAGGTTCATTTACTAGTTAGAATATTGACGTCTCTCCAAAACCTGAGTGCCAATTCTTCACACCCAGGTGATCATCCCTACTGCGAGGGTCAGGGCCAAGCAATGTTTAGGGTTTGAGGTTTAGGGGTTTAAGGGGTTTAGGGGTTTACGTTTTAGGGTTTAGGGTTGAGGGCTGCTCCCCGCGATTAACTTGCCTACTTGGTCCTCCTGCCCCTCCAAGCAGGGAATTGAAGCAACAAGTTGGACCAGCCTGCACCGCAAATTAGGGCTGCAGGATCCCAACCACCGATCCAACACATTGTTTAGGGTTTAGGGTTTAGGGAATAGACGCCCTGAATCCTGAACCCGAAGCCCTAAACCAAGGAAGGAGGCATAGGCAGGATGTGTGGAGAGAGACAACAGGGGCAGAAGATTAGACTGCTTGCCTTGCAGTAAACAAGGAAAGCCCACGTGGTTGACCAATTGAGCTACAGTCTAAACTCCGTCAAGGGGGGTGATCTAGAGGATTATATAGGGGAGTATTATAGGGATGAGAAAGGGGGGATACTAGGAAGTATGCCTAGCCCAAATGGGGACGCTAGAGTCAAAAAGCCCGTGCATTTAAGCAGGGTAGCATATTGAGGGCTGTGAGCTTTGTCCTGTCTTTTTTTCCGTTCGCCCTCCAGGATGTCGAAGAGAACACAACGTGAATGACCCCGTGTCAGCCCGCACAATCTCGGCTGGCCCACTACCCTCAAACCCTCTCTGGGAGTGTCTAGAAAAAGCCTGCAGGTATTTGGTACAGTTTGTACCGAATGTGGAAGATGGTAGGGTCTTCATTCCGTCAGCTTGCCACGTGCCAAAAGTATCTTGTTCTTGTTTGGAGGTCTTTCTACAAAAGGTCAATATGCTGAGAAGCCTAACATACGTACTATAGTCCAAACTCCTTACAGGGGGTTGTATAGGGGATTATATAGAGGAGTATGATGGTGGTAATCAAGGGGGGTACTGGTTACTAGGAGTTTAGATTATAGCTCATATGCACATACCCAGCTCTTTTCAACAGCCAGGAGGCAAAGAAGCGGGAAGAGCGGCTGAAGGATCAGAAGAATCGCGAGCAGGTGCGCCAACCGGCGTGCTGTTACCTGGGCTATGTTCCACACTCGTTAAAGGGGGTTGCATAAGCGATATCAAGCGATTATATAGGGGGTATTACAGGGCCTTTATGGGGGGATACTAGGAGTTTAGACTATGTCATATGTTTGAAGCCAGGAAGCGCAATTGAGCGGCGGCAAAAAAACCCCCCATGTGGGAGTTTATGTAAACATGAAAGTAATGATTGGTCGCGTCAGCTTTTATGGTGTGCGCGATAGTTCGCGTCAGTAAAATTCGAAAAAGATACTCAGAGTTCTATTTGACCAGAAGCCGCAAGCGCTCCACCCCCAAGCGCAAGTTCCTAAACCCCGTACCACATCATGAAGTGGGCACATGCCGTAATGGAACCTCATGCAGTTCGAAACCACTACTGTACCGGCATCTTGAATGTCCCCAAGGACCGGAATTGTGAAAGCTAGGTGCAACCTTAATTTGGATTCCTGATGCTATTTAGGAGCGCCTTTAAACCTCCAAGCACCTGAGTAGATTCTGGATACCCCGCCCTGTACAAATCTATGCTCCCGCTGTAGTCACAACTCATCATATCCTCAAAGGATCTGCTTCCTAGATCAATCGAGGTTCTGGTAAAACTCCTAGACCCTAAGCCCTAAACCCAAAGCATACTATAGTAGTATCCATTTTCTTTTCCATTATCCCAATAGAACCCCAGTATACTATAGTAGTTTCCCATTTTCTTTTCCATTATCCCAATAGAACCCCAGTATACTATAGTAGTTTCCATTTTCTTTTCCATTATCCCAATACATGACCCTAAACCCTAAACCCTAACCCTAACCCTTAACCCTAAACCCTAAACCCTTCTTCAACCTACACCTGGCCCTGAGGAGAAACTGCAGCGAAAAGAGCACCGGAATCAGGAGAGCTCTAACATGTCCAGAGCTCGGAGTGCAATGAATTTATTGGTTTAGAGTTTAGGGTTTAGGNNNAGGGTTTTAGTGTTTAGGGTCCAGGTTCCCCTATAACATATCTGCTCCCAGTATATACGCTTCACCGATGCAAAAGGGACCACAATTTTGTCAACCCATCTGGGAAGGGTGAGAGTGTGTCTGTTTTTTTTT